GAAGTCTCTAGCCATGAAACAGATTTCTCCTCCAACCTAGCTATACTAAGAACGGAGCAGTATGCCATTTAAAAAAAAACACCTTTCTCATATCCCAAATCCCATATTGAATTCTCTCTGATGAAGTAGGACATACATTCCCTCAGAGTGGGTCAACCTGACAAAGGAGCCCATCAACGCATCTCACCACTCTCCGCTGACCTCCACACTGCTAAATTGTAGCTCTCCTCCCACAAAGCCAAGCTAGACCATAATGTTTGCTAGATAGCTGCCTATTCAGACTACTCAAATCATCTCCTGGACTTGAGGCTCAAGCAACTTCATAAGTGTCTTTACTAGTACTTATTGTGGGGTGGGTACCCACCGTTTTCTTCTCACAGATATTTCTGTGCCTACTGCCATATGGGCCTATCTGGGTCTTTTTGTACTACTAAACCCTGCACCAAGGCTGCAACCTCTTCCATTTGACAGACACTGGGGAGAATTCATAAAAACTGGTGCAGACAGTTTTCTTATGGCAACCAATCAGCTTCTGTCTTCCCTTAAACTTTCAAAATGAAATGGAGAAGCTGGTTGATTGCCATGCACAACTACTCCAGATTCTGTCTGCTCCAGTTTTTATTAATTGCCCCAGGGACCTCTTGGAATTAAGACCTTGAATAAGCCTCCTCCTCCTAGTCAAACCTGCTTTTAGCCGCTAGTATTTAACTTTGACTACACCACCATTTACCTTGTGGGAGTACTCTAATCTTTCATGTGTTACTATTGTAGCGATAACTCCTCGCAAGGAGCCGCTCATTGCCCGGTCCACATCTAGACAGTCTAGGGGTTGATTTCCAGCTGCACCCATTAGCACTAACCGCCCATAAATTGATATCCACTTCAGTATTATGATGCTAATTGAACAGTTTATTGAACATATTCTGTGGGAGAGAGGGTATAGGGGTTCTAGGTGTCTAGGGGTAACCATCACCCACTCCAGACTCACCGGATCTTGTAACAGTAGGAAGACGTATCCACAATCCAAGAAAGAAACACTGACCAGGCTCTGAATTCCACATAGATCCAGGGCACCTCAAGAGCCGGTACTGGTCCTGGTTCTTTTTCCTCTCTCTATCTCGCAGGCCTCCTTCATGTCGAAGGCCTCAGGGAAACATCTTCCCTGAGGCCTAGCCTGGGGGGCAGGCTGAACAGGACCCAGCCCTAATCCATGGCTGGTCCAGGCGAGAGAGGGTGCACATGGCCACATTCAACTAATATATGTAGCCTGTCCCAGCATGCACCACTGGCTGAAAGAAGCCCAGTGATTGGCTGCTGTATAGCACATACATTACAGTATCCACCATTAGCTGGCCCTCAATATGACAGAGTCACACTCCGCCCAGGGGGGTACAGGCAAGGCTAAACACCTGGGATTAACCATGTAACCGCCACTACAAATCCAGCCAGGCTGTCTACAGCCCTTGCTATCACTAAATGCATAGTAGTAACATCACAAAAAGTGATGGGCACTACACTATCATCACAACTACTTTTTTATGGCATACATGGTTCAACTTCCCTGGACACCCCGTTTTTGTTTTTCCACTTATTTTATTGCTGACCTTCACTTTTTTTTTCTCTGCACTTGGGTGTTGGCACATGGATACTGACCATATTTACTGTCAGCAGCCTTACACTCCAAGATGTTACTGTTTAGCATTTTGATTGTTTTACTACAAGGATTCAAACTCATTACTGCTGGGACTAAAACTGGGTGAGAAGCAGTTTTTGAAACTGTTAGTAATTTTATTCTTTTTGCATGTTATTAACCTTAGTAAGGTGTACTAAGTGTGCCCTGTACCCACACTAATTGGGACCAAAAAACCTGACCGCCGAGACCTAACATCGCTTACTTCACATGCTTTCAAGGTAACTGCATCTTCAAGGCTCAGGTGATAGAGGTCTGGGCAGATCCACAGGGGAATTATGACATGAAATTTGTGATTAACGGTAACTCACTATGCTGAATGTATATGCACCCCCTCCAATGAATACTAATATCCTAACTTCAGCAATGCTGAAGGCAGTAGAAATATCATAGTCTTAAGTGATATTAATGCAGCCCCAGATGTGTAACTGAATTGCATTACGTGGACTGGCATAACCAATATTGTTTTTACGGTTGGATTGCCAAGTTTGCCTTCACAAATGTATGGAGATAGAGCGCATTTACTTTCGTCACTCAGACTCGAACACATATTAATTTAATGATTTAGCATTGTGTACCTCATCCCCCCAACAGATTAAGGTAATATCGCATTTCCTCCATATCATGTGGTCCTGTGATTGCATTCACACTTTCTGGTCTGAGGTTATAGTTTTCATGGTATGCCAGCTGTCAGCACTCAGCATATGTAAGCCCTCAATAATGCGTACTTGGCTTACTGGAGGATTGACGCTTCATACACACTAAGAAACTTCTCAAAGTCCTACTCCTTTATGCTAAGAAATGTATCCTAATTTAGTGGAAATGGACCATACCTCCTACCCATGCCGAATGGCTTTCCTCAATTAACACTAACTTACACCTTTACAAACTAATGTATGAGATTAAAGGAAAATAACACAATTTGACAAGGTCTGCGGAACTTGGAAATCCTCACCCTACATACTTGCACCTTCTACACGGTAGTAATTTGAACCTGTAAATGTCTGCTTTTACACACTTTTTTTCTGTTGATGCTCTGTGATATAACCCCTTCTGTTAACTGTTATCATGTGAAGTCCGACTATTAGTAACATTGTGGGCAATACACCAAAAAAGGCTTGGAATGTTTAGTTTTTATTCTAAATATTATTTTTATCTTTATTAAAAGAGAACTATGGGGTAACCTTTTTATCCCATAGTTCTCTTTAGGGTCAGGGGAGGACATATACTAACATCCTCCTGTGACCCAATGCTCAGTATATAGCAGGCTATTGTCCGCTATATACTGAGAGTGCTGCAGCCGGGACAGACCCTGACAATACTGTCAAAAGCCATCCAGCTGGCTGATTGCCTCTAGATAGGAGCCTGATGTCAGAGCCAGCTGTGCCCTCCCCCTCCCCTCTCCGTTCCCCCAGTCAGAGCTGGAGGATCGGAGAGGGGAGGGGGGGGGATCCCTTCAGGGAGCAGTGACTGACAGTCACCACTCTCTACAGGGAGATAATTGGGAAGTGAGCGAGCGACAGTATGTGTTCGCTCAATTCCCGATCAATAGAGCCGACGTGTGACAGCTTCAATGGAAATCACTCACCTCATAGTTCTCCTTTAAGTTTTCCTCATAGGAAACTTTATAAAAAATTACCTTTAAAAACAATATTGTTGGTAAAAAGTAGAGCAACAGAACAAAAAAAGGGATGCACTGAAAAGAACTGCAGCACTGATTAATCTAGCAGCAGAGAAAGAAATCCACTCTTGTTGAGGAAGAATTATAAGTGCTGTTGAGAACACTCAGTTATAGTCTTACCCTTTGCAAGCCTAGTAATTATGGCCTAGCAGACATGGATGCTCAGATTACAAGCCTGTGTTCTACTGTTAGCTGTCAAGAGCAGGAATAAAACAACTTGAGAATATTAAGTATAAAATTAACAATGGAAATGTGTTCATTTATAATAATGTGCATTAAAAAGGCTACATGCGGACTGACATGTGCAACATGATGAACTGCTCCAATCTGCTGCCTAGTGACAACTTGCTAACATATTTGCTAGTCATTTAAAACATGGGGCTGCTATGTGATGCATTCAGTTAGATAAATGTAGAATTACTGTGTGCTTTGCCTGAAGGGAAAGTTTAAGGATATCAGATGGGGACAACGTTTTAAAGAGGGATCAGGCCTGTGAGGGAAACTGGAGATGAACTGTGACAACCAAACAAGCTCACAGCCATTATTAGTACAGATGACATTTTTCTCCTGTTCTTTATAATAATGCTTTGTCTCTGCACATTCAAAAAAATTACAGAAGACATAAAATAAATTTGCACCACTAGCTTTACTCTACAATTTACTGATATGATGTTCGGTTTTAAAGTGAAAGCTAAACACACAAAGAAAAGAAAATGCATCAGGCCAGGTCAAAGCAGGTGTAGAAAACCATGCTGACAGTTAAAAAACACTAAACAAAAAAGAAAACAAAAAGAAAACAAAAAACCAGAGCATCTGAACAATAAGCGCATAATAACTTTGTTTCTACATATATACAATTATATGTTTAAATGGGGGCAGCCATGTTGGCTCATTACATATGCAGACTTTACTGCTATGTAATAGGATTGATTAAATGCCCTTTCCAACAATGTACCATAATTCTATGGGTCCGTCTACTCACTGAAGTCAACTCACTCCTTTTAAACGTTAACAAATCACTATACAGGCTCTGCTTCCTTCTCTGCAGTGATAAAACAATGAGGTGTGCTTTACTGCTCATTCAACAATGGATCATAAGGGTCAGTTTATTCACTGAAATGTATTAACTCCTCTTGAGGCTGGAAATCACTTTGTTTACTACAACGACAACAATATGGAAGCACAAGCTTGACAAATATGAAAGTCATGTAAAAATTACAGTGAACACTTTCACTGAAAGCACACCTGAAGTTCCTGTTAACCCTATCTGCTATAATAAAAGTAAAGTAAGCAACAGCATTTCTCATACCACATGGCACTGCAGTGGTACAATTAAGCTGCCTATTCACTTATAACAGGGTTCAAAGCAGGCCATGACACTACCAAGCAGTGCTACCAGGACACTAATTTGGCAAAGGACTCCTGACAGGGTTTTAAGCAGAAGCATTCAACGGAAACTCCATTTCCCTCAATGCCTTCTAAATTTGTTATTCCCATTTTGGGTCCGCTTTTGTAAAGGTTATTCTAGACTAAGCAATTTCCTGATAAAAATATAGTAATATATTACTATATAGTAATATATTATGATTAACCAGAAAGAAAGAGAAGAATGGGAACAAAGTCTCCTACCTGAAGCCACAGTTTGTTGTTTACTGCATCTCTGCCTGTGGCAATACACTGAAATGTAGCATTTTGACCAGCATTCACCTCAACATCTCCCAGTCTCAAGAAGTGAGGGGATTTATCTGCAAAGAAAAAAGAAACAAAATGTTATTGGACGTTTTACAAAGAGCACTTCATTCATGCTCAATTGAGAGTTTTAACTACAGTATTGTTTGGTGGGGGAAAAAATTAGACAACCGAGCTATAGTGGTCTTTAATGCTGCAATGCAAGCTCAGGTGTCTATAGATTTATCACCACAAGTCCATTGTTCATAAAGGTTTAGTATTCACTCCCTAAACTTGAGTGCGTTTCTCTTGTCACACAAAGTTTTCAAAAGTAAAGAGTTCACAATTCAGCATGGTACCAAAGTCAAAATCTACAGTGCACTCAATTGGCAGTCCCCAGGCAATACACAGTCTTCTTGCAAACACAGTAAACAAAAATGCAGGCCCCGGTTCAGAAGCTTTAATGGTAGCATCACGCAGACTCATATTTTAGCTCTCCATTTGCTATGCTGAATGCAGTCTTGCACAATAACAAAATCAGCTGGTTATTTTTCTATGGATGGGATAATGTATTAGAGGCTCACAGAAATCTATTCAGTTTGCTGGCACTTGCGCAGTACTGTGACCAGCTGACTCAGGCAATGTGAAGTAAACAGAGTAAGTGGGCAGTGGGATCTGCCGGCTACTGATCTAAAATCTGCATTTTTTTTTTTTAAATGTAGTTTATAACTTCAGGTTTGTATGTTTTTAGGATGCAAACTTTCACAAATTGTACACTAAGGGTATAAAAAGTACTACAACCTGTAGACATTAATTTCAGCTCACATGGTATACATAGTACGTACTACTAATGCCGCAACTCTTAGCACTCACGCACATGCTTCTGCCCACCTACTACCAGTTTGATAGCCGTGACCTGTGTTTACAGGAGTCACTAGTAGACACTATATGAAAAATGTAACCATTGTGTTACATTGTAATGGTTGTACCCATTACAAGCAGAATCTATAAGAGCTCTTGCAAGCGGCTGCATGAGGGCTATGGAACGCACATTTGTTTGTACAACCATGTGCAGTCAGCCTGTACAAATCCATGACAGGCTGGCTGAAGACACCATTGTACGGGGATGTACACAAATCCCACTGGTTACATGTGTACCAGGACTTATACACTTAAGTTTTGAGTTCGGGACCGCAAGTAAGTCCGGGTATGAGTGTAAACCATTGGGTTTGCGTATATGCCCATGAAGCTTCCCATACATTTTTTTCACTGTTCAAAAGCAAACTTTAAGATTGTTTTCTTTTGTAGCAAAACATACAATAAAAAAAAAATACTTTAAGAACTTCAGACAGTAGGAAAAAACATTTGCAGTAGGGCTACCCCAGCAGTGCAATGGTTAAGTGCTTGTTTTTGGGCCTGTTGACTCACGGGTTCCTAGGCTGCTGGGCCCACTATCAAAATACAATGGAAACAGCAAGGGATTCCTCCATCCATGCTGCATAGCCCCGTGTAATACATTTATTTTTTGTTGAGCCCGGAAGGCTGAATTAAAAAAAATAGTACAGTGTATGGTCAGCTTAAGTCAAAAATACATATGAACTGATTACCAGTAGAACTACATTTGCAGGACTATTGTAGGAACATTGGTTTCTAACAGTCATTGGACCATGGACTTCCCCTGCAAATTGCTGATCACTTTGTCAGCAACATAAAATGGTCCAACTATGTTCGCATGCAAGATTCACGCAACCAGTCTTGATACATTTTCCAACTGACGACGACAACTATAAAATATGTGATTCTCAGGTAAAAGATGTGTAAATCTTGGGTGAAATCATTTATAAATAGACCCAAAAAGCTTAGTACTGCAGCTTGTGCCTTTATGCCCATTATGAATTACATATAATTGAATTATCTTCATTTTACTATTGTGCAGTTCTGATATTCACACTATAACAAATGTTTTACGTTATAGTTATTCGAACCTTTTCCAGTTTCCTTTCAAGTTTTCCTTGTACTTGTCAAAATGCCCCGATGTTTGCGCTATGTTTTTGTTTTTTTTCCACTTACCTTCGGCGCGGGAGAGCAGAGGCGAGTCAGAGCTGGTCCGGTGGGAGGAGCTCCAAGTGGGGTCCTAATTTAGCTGGCCGGCGACTGCCTGAGGGCAAACATCGCCCTGTTTTTTCCGCCCTCACCCTGCAGCACCATAAGGCGGACACCTTACTTGCCTTGCGGTAGCGCCGGGCCTGTGTTTTAAACAATTCCCCACCCTCCTTGTCCCACATGATTGTTCCAGAACATTTTAGGTGAGCTCATTCCCTCCCATCCATATAAAATGCTATGCTATCTCCAGGAAGATGGCTCATAACGAATATTACTGTCAACAAAAAAACAGCCCGAAATATCTTCTCATTGGAACAAGATGCATGTATACATGCCCTGACGAAGCATCATTATGCCAATTTAGTTGAATTACATAGCTTAGCACAAATAGGCTATAACCTATAATACCTATATATGACTTTCCAGCTCCAGCTAAATTTTAATGTAAAACAAAAAGCTGTTTAGTTTCCATAGTTTGATGCACATTTTTAGGTTTAACCAACACATTTTGCAAATGAAATCTTCCCTGCATGGCAGTGTTTGTCTTTGATTGTCTTTGGTTTGTACTGCAGATGTGACAGTTTTTTTCCTTTCTCTCGTAATATATGATTCAAGCGATGAGTGTTTAAAGGCTGGTTGACTTTTAGAAAAGAAAGTAATTAAACAGATTTCATTAGTTTACAGTTTCGTCCTTGTAAGTGTTAGAGATCGATACAATTATCATTAACAGAGTGAATGTAAGCATGATCCACATTTACAAGCACTTGGATACTGGGGCATACCACTAATTTCACTAAAGCATACAAAGGTTGTCACAAATTAACTTAAGTAGTAAAATGTATCACCAGCACACCAAAGTAAAATCTGGTCATTTTATTGATGTACATCTTGTCACAAAGCAACGTTTCGGGGCCACTCAGGGTCCCTTCATCAGGCATGACGAGTCCGAGTGGCCCTAAAATGTTGTTTTGTGACAAGATGCGTGTCTTGTCACAAAGCAACGTTTCGGTGCCACTGAGGGTCCCTTCATCAGGCATGACGAGTCCCTTAGTGGCCCTAAAATGTTGCTTTGTGACGAGATGTGTGTACATCAATAAAATGACCACTCGTTGAAGATTTTACTTTGGTGTGCTGGTGATATATTTTACTATTTGGATTTGAAGTGGCACCATCCACTATCACTGCAGCATCCACCTTAAAAGGGACATACCAGTAATGGTGTGTTGGGGACCTCTTTGAAATTACCTTCTTTGACGTTCCCAGCGATCAATCCACATGGGGTAGTGGTGAGAAAGCTGCAGAACATCAACCAAGGGAGTGAGCTTAGATCAAGAGGACATACTGCCTGAGAGGGCTACACAGTTGCTAGTGAAGAACCTTGTTTGAAGCTTGAGAGAAGCATGCACAACATATCAAGAGCACAATTAAAGTTGGGAATCATGTGGGGTGCATAGTTGCAGATGAAAGATCTTTGGATTGGAAAACTATATGTGGGATCTGTGGGGTACACAGCTGTTGGTGACCTTGAGAAGCTCACAGTTGGGAGGGATGTAAATTGGGGTGAAAGTACTAGTGCAGAGCAAAAGAGCTTGAGATCCTTACCATTTAGAAATGGGAGAACTTTACTTCGGTTTTAAATGTCCATTTTAAAGCTAAAAACTATAACACTTCATTCACAGAATTAGCAGTGGTATTTTTAGTTTTGGGATGAATTTCACAACTTTAAGTGCCAGTGGAAACAAGGGTTTCAGAAGGGTAAGTCGTAGTGAGAAAATATTGAGAACCCCTTTCCTACTTAATGTATAGCTTTCCACAAAACTGTATAAATACACAAGTCATAGTGAGAAAGGACTGAAGGAATAAAAAAAAGCCCTTAACTGTAATCAGTTCATACATTTGGATGTGCATTTAGCTGTTTGGGACATGGAGGAATGATTTAGCGGCATTGCTCACCATCCTGAAATGAGGAATGATCCTCTTATTTGTGGGTAAGGTGATGGAATGAGATGTGTAAATACCTTCTGTTTTAGGAAAGCTTTACTGTGCTTTTCGCAACTCTAAAATTTTATTTCGCTCTAACAGGTTAAATATAAAGGAAAAAACAAGAGGCAGCAGGCTGATTTGTCTTGGTATTTCTTTTATGGTATTAGCCAACAGCTTGTCAGACACCAGCACTCTTGACAAGAGCATTAAAGTGTATTTCTACTTTTGCAGTCAAAGTGAAAAACCCCATTATAGGTTTGTTATGTGTTCCTATTCACACCGGCTGTCCCCATAGAAAGACTAGGGACAGGCTGAGCTCCCTTTTTGAACATACAATGCTTCTAGATCTTTATCCCTTTGTTAAGGCAAACATTGTTTAAATCGAATCTGCCCACACAGTACAGACAGGGTTATTACATTAATCTTCCCACCCTCTTGCATTCCAGAGGGCAATTTGATACAGAGAACAACTTTTTTTTCAAGATTGAGCATGTTTTGTGCAAGCAGCAATTTTTTTGAAGTGAATGAGAAACATGTAACAAAATATAAAGTAGGTGTTATCCCAATTCAGCTGCAAAAATGGAAACCCACTTTAAGCTCTGCTCTTGGTTGGCTGTAACATCATGTGTACACAGACATAATTTTCAATTCATATCAAGCAACAATCGCCTAATGTCTACAGATGCATTTTATACACTGTTAGCGAAAAATGGACACTGTCAAATTTTTAAGCGCACAAATGTCATAAAGGTAAAGAGGATTACAAATATGTGGCATTAAGGGCTTAAAGTAGAGCTGAAGCTGTTTTGGATCAATTAGGGAGGGGTATAACCCGTCAGCTTTTTTGCCATCTATATCCTATTGGGGAGATTTCCCATCATTTTCTTCTGAGGATATCCCTGGTATTCAACAGGGTCCCCAGAAGTAGTTTCCCATTGGAAGATTTCCCATCTATTTCTATTCTGACAACCTAAAATTTGGGATTTTCTTCCACTTTCAGTCACAATCGTCACCAGGACAAACAGTGATTCTCCCCAACGGAGACAAAGCAAAAAAATATGACAGGCGTTCTAATCCCCCTCCACTCTGGCCAAGTCATAAACAAAGTTTTGGCTTCAGTTGTAATTTAAGCAAACATAACTACACTATAAAAATAAAGCCAAAACTGGGGGTTACGTGGCCCCACAAAAAGTTACATTGAAATATTATATTGTGATTGGTTTAAGGGTGTGGCAAGAGATAGTCGGACGCTGAATATACTGTACATTTTATTGCAAGCAAGCATGTCTCCTGTTTTTAAATCCTTCCCAAAAACATCACAATGGAACACCACCTTTCACTTGTAGCTTTAAAAACCATGATGCCTCATCTTTCCAATTTTACAGACAGAAGTAAGATCTATCAAAAATTGATAGAAGCAAACTAAAACCATTAAATAGGAGCTGGATTCAAATGACAGAAGTATAGCAGCCCTTGGGTCATATTAAAAGGAGAGTGCATGTTGCATCTTCATTAAGGTGTCCAACGGCAGAGCCACAAATGAAACTAACCAATTAAGACAGAGCACAAATAAAAACTTTTATTCTTTCAATTAAGGATTAAATCCCATTTACTACAGTCTTTTTTTCACAGTTCAGATTAGACAGTAATTAATGTAGCAAGCACATAATTTTCCGCATGGAGTGACAAACAAAAGAGATTTAACCATTGTTGATTTTGAGGCATTGTCTTCGGAGAAGTGGCACAGTAAATAATAGACCAGATGCACAAGAGCCACTGGCTTTAGGAGGGGATAACTATTTGCCAGGGCATACATGCTCCACAAGAAAATTCAGAAGAGAAAACATTTAATTAATCCTTACCACAGGGGTAGCTTAAAACTTGAATGTCATCTATGGCAATGTATCCGCCCCTTCCACCAGAGGCTTCAGCTTCAAAGATAACCTGTCAAAACAAAATGAATAGAAGCATCATTAAAAACACTTCAGTGAACCACTATCTGCATGAATTAGAAGATACCCAGTATAAAATAAAAGGATTGCATATAAATACTTATACCATACAACTTACATGCAAACAGAATACTTTTTTCACTACAATTGGTCTCGTCCCAGATTTTTTCTGTTAATGTTTTTGAGGAAGAGCAGCTGAATTGGACCAGACATTTAATCAAGCAATGGAAATTGGTAAATAAGAGAAGCCTATAACAAGCATCATCCTGTCCACAAACAGATGCAAACCACTAATGCACTCCATGATCATGTCCACTGGTCAGGGATTTTGGTGCAGCAGGCTACACTTAAAACTTTGTTCCACATGTAACAATCACTCTAATGAAAGTAGTATTAATTTTCCACTGTAGTGGAGCAATCAAAATCTCTTATTAGACAGCCATACATATGGATGATTGTGTCAAGTGAAATAACACCAACTTTCACCCTTAGTCTTTACAGAGGCATAATAGAAGTCTTAGATTGCAACTTAAACTAAAGGTTATTTTTTAGTGGACAGTGATACGAACAACTGTCAGGATTTTTATTTCTGTCTCTATTCCCGATTTACCCTCCTGATTTGTCTTGGTGGCCATCATCAATGGGAAAGCTTCCAAAAGTAGAACCTAGCTTTGGAAATCCTACTGATCACCAGGGCTTCTCCTCCTTTGGAGAGATTTTACATCACATTCTGTTGTGGCTATTGGACAAAAATCTCCCGAATGGGACATAGCATGAAAAAAGAAAGAAAAAAAAGAAGCCGACAGGGGTTATAACCCTCCGTTACTCAAAATACTAAAAGCTTTGGCCTCAGCTTTACTTTAACTAGTACAAGAACAAGAATGTGTTCAATTTGTGAGACACCTGACCAAACACTATCATGCCTTATTAGAACCCGTGTTAATGGCTACAGAGTTCTGCGGTAACACCACTTTACTCAGTGTACGAGCTAAAGCTGTACCACTCCTCAAAAATGGATCATTCCCTCAGAAACATTAACATACACAAATATAAATATAAAGATTATGCCAGCCAAAGCAGCTAAACATCACAAAGTTATCTCCTCTACTAACATGTTATTACCAAAATTGGACTATCGGCGAAGGAAACCGGTCAGATTTCTTCTACTCAGATTTAGGATTTCAGTGCTGTCTGATTGGTGATGCCCACAGCAGTTAGTATGGTGCAGGAATCTACCCTCCTGTGTTGCTATGACTTATCATTAGATGGGTAAACCGTAATGCTGGTAACATTTGAGTCTTTCATAAGTTAAAAGAGATTGCCATCTTAAAAAATTGCAGGAAAAAAAAATGCATTTATGCAGCTATAAAATTATATATATATATATATATATTATATATAATAATAATAATAATAAAAAGGAGCAGTGATGTAACTTTTCCTCCCCTAAATGATTTATTAACTTGCACTGTGTTTCTGAACATGCTAGAAAATTTCAAAAAGTCAGTTCCCTAGCACAAACTCCTCCCTCCTGCCATAGCCCTCTCCTCTTCTGTAACTGTCTAGTTACTGTTTGAGCTGGCCCGGTATTTCCATTCTTCCCTTCACGTTCCTACATAACTTTTTATGTAGCAGCTGGGGAAGAACTGAAGGAGAGCACTATACAGTACTTGAGTTGCAACTTGCTGACATCACATCCAAGATGGCTGTGTCCAGTGGCAGTCTCAAGACTTTTGAATGTGTACACAAGGGAGGCTTTTACAGGTAAATAGCATACCTAACATACGTTCAATGCAGATATAATCGTATGAGAAGATGGTTTTTGATATGAATAATCTGGCGACAGGGGAAAAAAATAATATATAAGCTGAATTGTATTGGTAGCCCCACTCCATTCGTTAATTTTTTAGCGGCCTGGGTTCTTTAATGTACTGTGACTGGAACAATTACCTTATCCGAAACACACTCAAATTTGGTTAAAATTTAACAAAAAAACTCACTCTTGTGGTTTTACCCTTAAAATGATATTCCCCATATATCCACTGCCTCATTCTGCAAAGATTTCTAGAACACAAAAAACAGTAGCAAGTATTTAACAGTGTAGGATTACGGATATATTGAACTTGACTTAAGACACACAGGGTCAGAAATAAACAAATGATTGACCTTGTGAATTATGACAGTATAATGTTATGCTGTAGTCAGCTCTGGACACTGAATGAGATTTTTGTTCAGCTGTTCTTCCCCCCACCCTTCAATCCCTCAAACCCTGAAGGAAGGATTTTCACAAGCACATCTGCTGAAAGAGCAGTCTGGGGAAGACTGGACTTATAAACATGCAGAATGCATAACTCATCAGTTGAAAAAGAATGTGAATGAACCCAAGCAAGCTCTCTACTAAATACTAAATGCAAAGCCAAATCTCTCCATGTATGAGTAAAAAAGGCAACCATTTTCATGCAATCTTCACATACACAAAGCTGGAACATGGTATTTTCATAAAACAAAATATGGGAAGTAAAGGAGGTGGCAAAACTAAGAATCTGGGGTTTCACATGCAATGTTTCTCATAAATGGAAGAAAAAAATAGAACAGTCTAACAAAAAATCCTAACTTCTTATAAAAACAGACCTTAAACATTATCAATGTTTAAGGTCTAAAGTTTTTCTTTATAACACAGAGGAACCCTTGAAATACATTACAAGTCATAATTAATAGATATAAAAGATCACCGTAATTAGAGTCAGGACTAGATAGAACAATAAATGAAAGAAAATGGAATGTGGCATATTTGACACAGGGAACCCCCAAATTTTATTTTCAGCGATAATAATAAAACCAACAACAATAATGTCCAGAAAAGAAAGCTAAAAGCCTTTCCTCAAATAGTGGTCACTGGAGATTTGCCTGTGTACATTAACTGGAAGTGAAGAATAACTTGCTAAAGTTGATATTGATTGTTCGTGTAGAAGCGCCCCTTTGCAATGGTGGTCAGTGGACAGAACTCCACTTACATTAGTTGTCATTGGGAAAAACGATCCTTACATAGGAGGTCACTGGTAAGAATGCCCTCTTTCAGAAAGCTAAAAAGCATACTGTCAAAGGTAACTTTAATTTATCAGAGTAGGAGAAATTGTTGATTGCTCAAGGAATCCCTAGCATGCGCTAAAGGAATTCTTTGGTACCACGGAACCCTGGTTGGGAGAAAGAGCAAAACTATGTATGATTGCGTCAGGTTGTAAAACAATAACAGGGCTTACTGGTTTTCCAATCTCCATTATAGGATCCATATTAATTAAAGCTAGCAAGCTATAAAAATTAATTAGTGAACTGCGATCAAAGAATGACAAACTATGATAGAATTAGAAAACCCACTTAAAGGGTTCATATGCAGCCTAAAAAATAACTAAAAAGGTCACCTGCTTATTGCGCCTATTGCAGAGCCGATCTTCAAGCAATGTTCTCACGTGGCAGCAAGTAGTTTCCACTAATTTATCTTGTAAAGTTCAGTCTGAAGGTGCCCATACACCTTACGACCATTGCAAGACTTTTGTCTTGCGATGGTCAGGTCCGTAAGCTTATTAAAAGCTCGTACGATCTGCCCATCTTGGACAGGCAAATCGTACTTGCGATCATCGAAAGCCCGCCCCGCTGAGGGGCGAGCTTCTGATGACCGCAATGAGGGGCAATCACTGCAAACGGGCAGTGTGCGTGTGCGCACAACGGCCCGTTCGGCAGTTGTCGAAGAAGCAGGCCACTAACCGGCCGAGAGTTTTCAAGCCTGCTTGTTCGACGGAAGACGTGCGACTGTACAGTAGAAACGGTCGCACGCCTTCCATACACGCCTTCCATACACTTTGGGATTTCCCGCGATTCTCATACAATAATCGTACAGTGTATGGACACCTTGAGACTCTGCCTTAAGGGAGAGGATTACTGATGATTTGTCTTTTTAACCAACCCATTGTATTTCAGGGATCCTTCTTTGCCATGTATTTAATGCTAGTTTGTAGAAGAACCTATATGAATAGAAAAAAAAACGTGTTACGTTTAAACGGGTTTAAAACGTATACAGGAATTTCTTGTAGATTCCAAAAAAATTAATATAGCCGTCTCCATAGCCAGAACTAATAACTAGACATATGTTATGACACAGAAATGAGTCTCCAAGGGGAGAAAGCACTATGTAAAATGAAAGTATCTTGCCAACTTCGGATACCCTAAAGAAAATGTATTTGAAATGTATTGCCACAAACTTCTTTAAATGACAATACAACTCCCTGCTAATGCCTTTTACTGGCCACAGAATTTTCCCTCCTGGCTTTGAAATCAAACCATTTCTCCAATGGACTGGCAAACTCATCCCTACATCTCCATCACTTATTTATCGATACCTTTAGAAGCCTTAAGAGAGAAATGGGGAAGTTATGGACCCGTGGAGATATTTCCAGGCTAAATATTTTGCCCAATCTCTTCTCCAACCCAGCTGTCCAGCTACAGACTTGAATCCAATAGAATTACTTATTTGAAAGGCACACCTACCTGCACATATTTTGTCTCAACTTTACCACTATGCTTTACAGCTGGATACACCACCTTTTCCTGACTATCTGGCAAAAAAAGGGGAGCAGGACTTTGCTAGAACTCTGTCAAACAAGAATGAAAGATATTTTGCCACCGTCACACCTCCCCCATTAGTCCTGCAGTGGAAGAGTGCCATTTCAAAGTTTTCTCTCACTCCTCTTGTATTGATCTCCACTGCCTCATCCTCAAAATGTTGGAGTGGGCTGCGGCCACATAACATGTGTGGTGGCTGTGTCCTATTATACAAACATATTGAAAACAACTTGCTTCTTTCATACATCTAATTATAGGTCAGATTATACCACTTGACTCTTGGGTTATACAATTCCATGGTTCTGCAATCCCACATATGTCATACAGAAAAGGTATTCTCCCTCACCTATGGAATACTGCTAAACCTAGCATTGC